TTTTTTTTTTTTTTGCTAGTGTAAACTAATGTATTCCGGTTCATTCAAGTCGTAATAAATAATTTCTCTGACTTGAATAAAACCGGTTAATTTAGATGTTACCACATGAAGCACATTTCTCAGGCTACCTGACAAAACATATTTTACAGTGTGCTGTCTAGTTGGCAGCTCACTAGGTTTTGAGAAAGCATCCATATGTCATTATAAATTTACAAGATGGAGCGTCTGAACTACACCAGTTACTAGGTTTATCTCCCCCGGATACGTTTCTGTATTTGAGCTTGTATTGATTCTGTCCATGTATCTCTTAAAGCTGCCCTCACTGTTCTTCGTGTAATTGATGTATATTTTTTTTTCTATCTTTTCTAGTTTCAGAGTCCCTATTCCTATTCACCACCGTTTCGCTTCGGGACCGTGCCTAATGGGAGCACAGAGCGAAACATCAGGAAAAACTACCCAGACATGCACCAATACATGGTGAAATACCATCAGACTGGAGTTCAGGATGCACTGGTCAGCCTCAAGACAGGGTACGGCTGGGATATGCAAATTTTTTGCATTGCCAACAAGATTATTTCTGGTAGACATAATGTTAATTTTTCTCTATATATATATAAGCCACTAATTGTGCTTTTTTGGTCTGTACAGTAAACTGGATGCTTTCATATATGACGCTGCTGTGCTCAACTATATGGCGGGGCGTGATGATGGCTGTAAGCTAGTAACTATTGGCAGTGGCTACATCTTTGCCACAACAGGATATGGCATTGCCCTGCAGAAAGGATCCTGCTGGAAACGTCTGGTTGACCTTGCTATCCTCGGGATCATTGGAGATGGTATCAGTGTTTTCCTGCTTTTCTTTCCTATTATTTCACTTATTTCATGACCTCTGTATTAAACACTATCTCTGTTCCTAACCTTAGTGAGATTCCTTGTTCTCTGCATAGGCAGCATCCTAAATTAAATGTAACTTCATAAATGATTGTTTCGAAACAGGATAAAACCTGTTAACACTCACCCAGATGTGCAGCATAAATATCATGAATTGCAAGTGACTCATTTGATTAGAATAGATGTGAGCTTGAACATGAAATACTGATACTCATTTTAAAATATATTCAAATAGAAAACCATTATTTTAAATTGTAATTATATTTCAAAATAAAAAAAATTCCTGTATTTTTGATAAAGTAAATGCAGCCTTGATGAACATAAGAGACTTCTTTCAAAACATTTTGAAAAATCTTATTGACCCCAAACTTTTGAATGGTAGAAGAAAGTGAGCAAAACTACAACAGTGTAGGAGATTGATAGCCAGGGACAGAGGTCAAATATGCAATTTAAAATATGCAAATTTGCAATTATTTAAAAATTTTACTGCAGAATGCTGCAAGCAACCAATCAGAAGGAGATATTCCAGGGAGTGAAATCATGGGTAAATACACTGTAAAAATGATTTTTCAAAGTTATAAATAAAGATTATTGGAGTGTTTTTTTTTTTTTTTACAAGAAAATTTATACTTATGTTTATACTTTAAAAAAATCACATTTAATTCAATGTATTACTTGCTATTTCTTTGTAATTAATTGTGAAATTCACTAGTAAATTCTGATTATACATTTTTTGGGCAAATTTTTTTTCAGTATAGTTATTTCAGATTTAACTATACTATTTTAGATAAAAAAAATATATAACTAAAAAGATTATTTTTTTTATTTGGTTTATTCAACAAGATATCTCACAAAGCAAAATTATTTTGCTACCTATTTAACAGCCTTTGCATCGGGAGCTTGCCTGAAATGCGTAGAAATGCTGCCCAGGTAAAGAGATCGCTAGTGTTTGGAACAGAGCCAGAATGCGAGCCTGCTTTTCTGTGAGTCTGTGCATAAGCATTAAATCTGTGATGTTGTGTTGTGTATTAGGTGAGATGGAAGAGCTGGAGGCCCAGTGGCTGACTGGTATCTGTCATAATGAGAAGAATGAAGTGATGAGCAGTCAGCTGGATGTGGATAATATGGCTGGTGTGTTCTATATGCTCGCGGCTGCCATGGCTCTGTCGCTAATTACTTTTGTCTGGGAGCACCTCTTCTACTGGAGGCTACGTTACTGTTTCAATGGTCTCTGTTCTGGTCGGCCAGGAATTCTCTTCACTATCAGCAGGGTATGTCACAGAAACACAATGGTAAATTAACTAGAGAAGTTCCGTTGCTGAAGGCAACCATTATCTGCTCAATCTTGACATATTAACATGTCATGGTGGCTGTTTACCACAGTCGTCATAAAGCTTCATCAGTGTAGGAATTGCTGCTTATGTGCTGACAAACACATTTTTTGCTGCGAAATAAGAAAGAGCTTATATAACAGAATATAATAGCACCAGCCACCATCTCTAGAATATAATTACAGGGTGCGGTCGTTTGTCACAGCAGGATATATTACTTTATTTCATTGATTTATAGAGTTGTAGACCCAAGAAAAAATACAGTTGGACTATATTGAGAAATATTGTGTTAATATGTACTTTTGGGTGTTAGCCTCCACTTATGAACTTCTTTCTGTAACCTTTCTGTCTCCATTCCACCTATAGGGGATTTGGAGCTGTATTCACGGTGTCCATATTGAGATGAAGAAAACCCCAGAGTTGGGCTTCAGTCCTCAGGCCAACATGTTGCACCTTCTGAAATCGGCTAAAGAGATCACCACCCTTGGAGTTACCTCACCCAAACGGCCCGTGAGTAGCAATCTCCGTCCTACCACGGGCTTTCTGGAATTTATGGACGGAGCAAAAGGCAACAACCTTGCCCAGAAAAACGTACCATACAGCAATGCCAGCACCATGCTCAGCAACCGTCACAAAGAGCCCCTTAACAGCACTCTGTTGCCAGGGCAACATGCCTTGAGCTTGACGGATGCTCAGCCAGGTGTTGCTGGAAATGGTGGCTCAGTAGGCGGAGGTGAGACCGCTCGACCTCCAGCCTCTAAGCCACGTGCTCTGTGGAAGAAGTCTGTGGAGACTCTACGGCAGAACCAAGAACCTGGGGATAATTCCCCACCGTCTGTCCCGCAGCCTACCGAGACCCTACCTATGAAGAGCCAGCGCTACTTGCCTGAAGATGCACCCGCCCGCTCAGATATGTCAGATTGCTCCGGTCGGGTGGACTTGCAAAAGCAGCACAAGTTAAAAGAAACACTTCGGAAACGGAACCGCCTACCGCGGGATCTGTGCGACGTGGAGCTTTCAACTCTCCGAAGCCAGCCCAGTCAGCAGAGTAACCACAGTGCTCAGATCTATTCTCAGAGTAGCCAGGGAAGTCAGATTTATACAATTGATTCCATTGATCAGGAGCATGGGCTGCACTACCCGGATATCTTCAGTGATCACCGTGACAACAAGCACCGGCCATCCTCTTCCTCCGAGCAGCAGCCAATCCTGCAGCTCAACAGCAGTCTGCTGTCCCAGGCCCATGAACCAGAAGTGATGCAAACCGCCATTGCAAAGGATAAGAAATACAACACATACGGAAAGCCTGGTGGGGCAGGGAGCATCACCGGCGGGCCTGGTTCTACTCAGGATCCACGACAGACACACTGCCGTAGCTGCCTGTCAAAAGTGTCCAGTTACTCTGGGCTTTACACTGTACGGTCTCCTCAGTATCGCTGCGATGCCTGTCTGCACTCTGGAAACCTGTATGACATCAGCGAAGATCAATTCCTCTATCCAGATGGACGGGGCACTGGCGGTGGAAGTGTTGACAGGGCCTTCTCTCCTTTTCTCCCTCAGCCTGATGCTTCCTTCACAGCCTATCTTCCCCAGAGTGACCAAGAAGGCGATGGTCTTATTAGTCACTACCAGAATGAGGGTGTAATCATCCGCCAGCACTCATATGAGAATCTGCCCCAGAAGAGTTCCTCACGGCGGGTCAGTCTGCAGGACAACACGCCATACGCTAATGTTCCCTCGGCGACTCTGATCCCGGACAAGCCCCCAAAAAATCAGTCGGTTCACCTAAACCACACGCTCGCGGGGGTGGGTGTCAGCGGACTCGGGATTGGTCGTCGCAGCAAGTCAATGTATCCGGCACGTCCAACTGAAAACCCATTTCTCCAGACGCTTCGTGACGACCAGCGTCTAGCTCACGGCCGCAGCTCCACAGACATTTATAAGCAGCTTGTGCCGCTCACATTAGGCCAGGCTGATGGCAATGTGCTCGGCATGGGGATTCCGACCCCTGAACTCTATTATTCTGAGCATGTCATGCCTTATGTAGCCCCTCCCCCTGTCGCCACATACACCACTCCCAGAGCAATGAGCGCTGGGGGAGCTCGGCGTGTCTACAAGAGGATGCCAAGCATTGAATCTGATGTCTGATAGAGAGTGCAACGAGGTCTGGAAGACTATAAAAAGACATGCATGGATATTTCCACCAGGATATGGCTTAATCGTGGAACTCTTGGCTGGGTTGTAAAGCTTTTTGACTATAAGGCAAGCAAGTCTGGAATATATTTTGTTTCCCTTCTTGGACTTATCTGTCTGAACAGAAGTCAGAGTTCAACTTTACATCAGGTCCTCCCCTCTAGTCGAGCGGCAGCTCTGTGTCTTCCAGAAAACATCAAAAATTGTGGGCAGGACGCTCTTGCGCCTTTGAACGAAGGAAGAGCAGCAAAAGCTGCTTGGAAGTACAGGGGCAGCTCCAAAGAGTTTCCTTTTTCACGCAACACAAGCAACCAAAAAAATTGAATATATATAAACATACGTGAATATCCACATTCTGCACTTTTACACACAAAAATACACATGCACATGCAAGAGGCACAAACAAAACATGATCTCAAACTACTGAAAGGACGACGTTAGGTATAAAATAGAATCTCTTGACCAAAACAAAAGGAATACCACATACAAAGTAATAGCATAAATGACAGGCGTGTACTTGCACACAATCACATGCTCTGAAATAAAGAAATTGTTTAGCAGATCCAAACCTGATTGAGTTTTTGGAAAGGCAGCAGAACATCTGTTACACTGTTTGAACGGCTTATAAATGCATGTACGAATGCATTTCGATGTAAAAGCTGCACTGAGGCACGGTCCTCAAAGACTGTTCAGAGTTCAAAGATTAAATTTCCATTCCAGCCTGAACTGTGACAAAATGCACTACCTGTATGATTAGTCTCGGGTGCAATCTCTGAAATCAAGTATGTTGGGGAATTTCAGAGAAGGTAAACTCGGTGCTCACAAGACCTGCGACTCGTTCGTGTCTCTGACGACACCAAGTGGAAAAAGTCTTTGACCCTCCCCACCCTTGAATCTGTCCGTACCTTGCCTGCATGCAGAGTGCAAATGCAGGAAGATAATTCTCTGCTCACAGCACAACAGTGTAGTAAGTGTCAATGTTCATTCATCTAAATTTTCATTCATCTAAATTCTTGAGTATATTTCTATAGTTGTCTAGAATATTGAAAAAAAGTGATAGTCAATTTATACAGTTTTATACACTGCCAAATATTTGGAAAAGGTGTGCAAAGTATATTTATTGTGTTATAGAAAAGAAGACAGCAGGAAAAGAAATGAAGGGAAGTGACAGAAAAATAGATATACTGTCTTTTTTGTGGTCGTAAGGGACTCAGAGGAGGCATAGAAAAGGTAAAAGCCCACACCAACTAATGATGTCAATACAGAACCACCGAGATATAATAAATTCCTTATTGCCTCGAACACACAAACACATCACTTCCTGTAGAATCCAACCACACACTCATACTTCACAAAAATGTTTGGTTGTTTTGAATATAATGGTCGTTCCAGCGATATGCACAATATCAGGTTGCAATATTATATTTATGTATGAAATTTCCTAGTTTTAATATGTTTTATTATTAGTTCCTTTCATTTTATGAATTGTTATACATGTGGAATTAATTTATTAATGTGATTTAATTGCGTATATATTTAAAAGAAAAAAGATAACAGCATGTTAATCTTCTCTATGGTCAAACATTTAGAATTGTTCTTTTTGATTTTGATGTGAATGGGAGTATATGTTTACAGTGAATGTGAAAATATGGATTCATCTCAGATGTGATTTTGATTCTCATTTGAATACAACCATAAAACTGTTGTATGACCAAATGTTAACTGGATCACCTTTCTTTGCTGTGATTTCAGTGCTGTGTCTGAAACGAAGTGACATAAACATTTCAGGGTATATACCGGGTTTTAGACTCACCACACGAACATGGTTTGAAAATAATAAAGAATATATTGTGACTTTAGAAAAGAGAAGCATTTTTCATAAGGTCAGTCTGTCAGATGTTACACATCTGCCTCTAACCATTTCCATTCTGCATCTGGATAGGCGTTCTTGTGTTTACACTCTCAAGAAATATTCAAATTAGCTGTTTGTTTTTAACCTCATTAATGTCTACGAAATACTAGCATATTCATATTCCATATTTCATATAAGCCTCCATGGAAAAGGCCATGTATATTTGCATAAACATCTCACTTGAATGTAGACAACAACATCCAGACACCGTAGGATATTTTAATGTCAAGAGTAGATGGGTTGTGATTAGATTGTAGTGGTTTACACAACCGGTATGCATTTGTATTTACAGGTAGATTTTGAATAAATCTATTTGCACATTGATATGTTTTACATAATTTACATTCCTTCCATTATGCAAATTTAGACCAATTTACACTTGCTTGATCCACTGCTAGAATTCATTATATTAAAATAGTGTAATAATGACATAATTTGAGAAAAGGCCAATGAAATTGGCAAGCAAAATTTGCATAGCTGGCCACACCCCAGACATCTGGGTATAAATAGGCCAGCGTGACATTTGATCTCTCGTTTTGTTCTGAGTCGAAAAGTGTCTCAACCCACTCAGAAGTAGTTCAGAGTTGTGGCATAAGGGACACAACGTCTCCGTTCCCTCCATCAGGAAACGAGGGTTACCATATGTAACCGAGACGTTCACGTTCAGTCGGTCACTTCGACGTTGTGTCAAAGTTCAGACACTAGGGGTCCCTATACTAAACGCCACAGCTGCTAAACTGCGACAGACGGACTCTCTGTCTAGGGGAAACACTGAATCCTATATCGGAACAGAGTAGTGGACTAATACACATATGGGGCCGCCAAAGGGAGTCACAACATATGGAGCACTAATCCATTATGATAGTTCACTTGAGGGATACTTGCTCATAATGGATTCTTATAGCAAGTTCCTCCACTAAACTCAGTTATGTAAGGGAGTGCTTGAGTGATGGAAGGGTAGTCCAGGGTTAATAAGAAGGAACTGAATTGGACTCAGTAAGCGCACATTATCACCTCAGAGAGGGGAAGTCGCTAAATGCAAGCTCTACACCCTACCAGCCACCTGAGTTCAAGAGGTAGTGCTCAAACCTCTGGATGAAACTGGTTCCATTCGCAGAATGTAGAATCTGGCAAATGTATTAGGTGAAACCCGACCCTGCAGCTCTACAAATGTCCGCTAATGAGGCACCATTTGCTAAAGCTGATGAAGCAGCAATTCCCCTGGTTGAGTGTGCTCTTACACCCAGTGGCCGTGGTAAGCTTCTGGCCTGATAGACAGTAAGGATCGCATCCACAATCCAGTGGGAGATCCTGTTTGGAGACAGTATTCCCCTTCTGCTGACCTTCAAAGCAGACAAAGAGCTGTTCAGACAGTCTGAAACTCTGTGTGTATTCCATATAGATGCGTAGGGCTTACACCAGGCAAAACAGAGACGGGTCAGGGACCCCTCCTGCGGTGGCATAGCTTGCAATGTTACCACCTGATCTCTAAAAGGAGTGGTGGGAATTTTGGCACATATCCAGGCCAGGATCTCAGGACAATGTGAGAGTCTGCTGGTCCGAATTCTAGGCACGATTCGTTAACGGAGAGGCCTTGGAGATCCCCCACCCTCTTGATAGAAGTGAGCACAGTCAGGAAGGGTGTCTTCATAGAGAGTCCAACTGACTGAAGGGGCTCAACAGATCTCTCATTAAGGCCTGAAGGACCACTGAGAGATCCCAAGAGGGGATGAGGCGCGGCCTTGGAGGATTCAACCCTCTGGGCACCTCCTAGGAATCTGATAACCAGATCGTGCTTCCCCACCAATCTGCAGTCTACTGTGTTGTGGTTCGCTGCAATAGCGGCCACGTGCATCTTGAGTGTAGACGCAGACAGGTGCCTGTCCAGGCCCTCTTGGAGGAAGGATAGCACAGATCCGTTGCCACATCTCCGAGGATCCTTCCCATGGGAAAAACACCAATTCACAAAAATGCACCATTTCAGGCATATAGCCGCCGCGTAGAGGGGGCCCTAACTTACGTAATGTTATTCACCACTGTGGGTGAAAGACCTCTGAGTTACTCCTGGTCTCGTCCAGGGACAAAACATGGAGGTTCCAGAGATCTGGGTGCAAACAGACAGAGGCTGCTACTTCGGGGTGCAGGGGTAGAACCTGACCCACGCCGAGGCAGGAAGTGTTTAATGGATTCCATTTTTTATTTAACCATGGAGAATTGCAGCGCAAATTCTTCAATGGTGTCGCCAAAGACCAACCTGAGAAATGGGGGCAGTGAGAAAGCGCACTTTCTCAGCATCCCGCATCTCTGCCAGATTGAGCCACAGGTGGTGCTCCTGGACCACTAATGTGGACATCACCCTCCCCAGATCCTGCGCCGTGACCTTCGTAACCCAGATGGCATAGTCAGTTGCTGAACGCAGTTCCTGCATGCTCCGGGTTGGGATCACCCTTGTGCAGACCCTGGCCTGAATACCTGCAGGACAGCCATGGCGTGCAGAGTGGACAAAGCTTGTCCAGAAGCAGTATAAGCTCTTGCCACAAAGGACGAGGTAACTTACATGCTCTAGATGGGAGTCTCGGATGGCCCCTCCAGGCAGCGGCCTCTTGCATGCAAATACACCGCAATCACTCTCTCCACCAGGGGAACCCCCATATATTCCCTCACTGAACCGCTGCCAAGGGTGGTGAGAACGGTGTAAACGTGTATCGTGTTATGGCAGAAAGGTGCCTTCCACGATTTTATCAGCTCCTCGTGCACTTCTGGGAAGAAAGGAACTGGGGTGGAGCTCAGCTGAGTGCCTGCTGCTCTCTGTTGCCCGGGTAAGCACGGCTGCCATCTCAGCGTCAGGCTCAGACTGACACACAGCACGCAGAAGTGCTGGTTTAGTTGAATCATCTGCTTCCAATCGGTCAGACCCACCCTCCGATTCTGCGATAGACAATTCATCCTCATCACGAGCCCAGAATGAGAGATCGAACCCGCACGGAGGCATGCTCTCAAACTCACCCAGGAACACTTACTGGAGAACATGTGCGGTTGAAGGAATGAGAGGTCTGTGGGAATTCATCCGGTAGAACTGCTCCCACAACTTTTAGTGTCACTTGGACTATTTAGGTTATGTTGATATGACCAGTAACAGTATGTTTCATTCTTTTAGATGAAATTTATGCAAGTAAATCAAAAACTCTCGGGTTGGCAGATGAGTGGTCCTCTGGTAATGATGCTTTAATAGGTAGTTTTTCACATATTTTAGTCAAATTTTTTGCTTTATAAAATTAAGCTGCATATGAAACTGCTCCTGTTGGGTAATGCTGATTTGTTTTTCTCTGACCTAATTGCAGAAAGCAGTTTTTTGTTAAGTTAATCAGCTAACTTAGAATCACTGGAAATTTGCTAATTACATTACCACTTGTCAAATAACAACTGATCAGTTAGGAAAATTCTCCTAGCAAACACATGAAATCTTGTGTTGTGCATATCAATGCATAAAAACCACAATGTTATGCTATTGTAAAATGGTTGCCAGGGTTTTGCTATGCAGTTTCAAAGGTGTTCTGGTTAATGGTAAATGCATTGCTGTGTGGTTGCTAGGGTGTTCTGAGTAGTTAATTGCTGACCCAAGTCTCTATAATATTCTTGTTTGTAAATATGACTCAGGTCCCTGATTTAAGGTAAGTCAAAGGGATGCTTTATTTATCTAGCAGATGAAAAGTCTGACCAGTTTGAAAAAAAATTTTCAGCTCTCCTTAACAAGTAGTCAAATTCATGCCCATAGCGCAAATGTAGGGAACCTCTGACAGTGATTCTGTATAACAAAGGCTAATGTATAGGTAGTATCGGTAAGGTATATAATTTAAATTTAAAGCTGACTACCTGCAGCATTTTTTTTCTGTATCAACACTGTTTGCCTCTGTCATGTCAAGACTGGTCATGTTGCTACAGAGAAACATATGAAATAGCCCATTCTTTTTAAAAGAAACATAATGATGTTGATAACAACTACATGATGGGCTTTTGGCAGATCTTTCAAAATAACTTTGCATTGGTTTTCTTTTCTTTTTTTTCCTGTAATTTGCAGTTGCCAAAAGATCCTGACAAATCTGGCATCTCGAGGCACAGCAATTGGCTCAGAAAAGGAAGAAATGCTCTGAATTCAACACAACTAGTATTCATGTCCTTAAAAGGATAGTTCACCCAATAACGTTGGCAACCAAACAGTTGATGGTAGCCATTGACTTGCATAGTTTTTTTTTTCTTCTCCATACTGTGGAAGTCAGTGGCTAGCAACTGTTTGGTTACCAACCTTTATCAAAATATGTTCTTTTGTCTTCAACAGAAGAAAGAAATTCATATAAGTTTGGAACATTGATGACAGAATTTAGATTTTTGGGTGAACTGCCCCTTTAATACTCACTTTATCTGTACTTTTGAGAGAGTTGTATAAAGAATAGATACATTATTCCACACTGATTTTTGCACAACAAGTCTACAGATAACATTGATCTGTATGCACACAAATTAGGTTTTTGTATTGTTTTGAAAGAAGTCTCTTATGCTCACCAAAGCTGC